GTGGGACTTCTTAAATTTCCCCTACTCTCAACTCCTTTGTGCCCAAGAAATTTTTGTGTACCCCTCCCAAAGAAAGATGGGTATGTAAAATAAACACATAAATCAAGCAATAAGAATTCACACATAAATTTATTTTAAACCAATTTTGGGGGAAGCATATCATTTTGCCATTTATTAAAGAAAGATGAAAGCAAATTTGTATATTAATGAGATGGATGTGCTTATTTATTTTTACATAAATAAATTCTGGATGGATACTTGATACTGCAGGGTACAGCGCATCTTCCAACATTTTTCAGAGTCGATGGGTATTTTGATTTTGTAACAGTCAGGAATGACAACATCATTTTTGCATGAATATGCAGGACAAAATGGCAGAGGTATGTTCAGGGCCATTTCAGAAATCGTTGTAAATTCTGCCCTAATCCCAAGCCAAAACTCACATAATGTTTTTATTTAATTAATTTATTTATACAATACTGAAATCAACCACTCAGGTAGCAATGTTTACCATCAAATATTCTAACATAACACAACCCAGTAGACTGATTTGAGGGGCTGGTGAATGGCTCAGCGGTTAAGAGTGTGCATTTCTCTTGCAGAGGACCTGAGTTTTGTTCTCAGCACCCACTTTGGGTGGCACACAACCACCTGTACTCCAGCTGCAAGACATAATACCCTCTTTTGGTCTCTAAGGACACCTGCATACACATGTACATTCATACAAAGACACACTTGTGATGTGGGATGTCCTCCTGTATGGTGTGAATATGTGTTGCTTTTATTGATTGATGAATAAAGCTGTTTTAGCCAAAGGCCAGGCAGAAGAGAGCCAGGCAGAAAATTCAAACATAGATACATAGAAAAAGAAGACAGAGTCGCAGAGACTCCATGTAGCCGCCAGAGAAGTAAGATGTGAGGTAACAAGCCACAAGCTAATTGTGAGAGCTAGTTAGTAATATGCCTGAGCCACTGGCCAGACAATTATAATTAAGCCTAGGAGTGGTTACTTGGAAGCTAGCCGGTGGTATGAAAAGTCTTTATTTATATACATGCACATGGTTAAAATTAAAAATATTTTAAAAGTCATACTAATTTGATACTTAATGTGCTGGGGAATAATAATAGGAAAACCTTTTAAAAATGTATTTTTATATGTATGGGTGTTTTCTCTATATACCTATCTGTACACTTTGTGAGTTCACTGCCTAGGGAGACCAGAAGAGGGTGCTGTCTCCTCTGGTACTAGCGTTACAGACGTGGGTGCTGGGAATTGAACTTGGGTACTCTGGAAGAGCTCTTAACTGCTAAGTCACCTCTCCAACTCCATCTGTAGGAAAACATTGAAAGTCGTTTATAGTCAGGTAGTGGTGGCACATGCCTTTAACTCCAGCACTTGGAAGGCAGAGGTAGGCAGAGCTCTGGGAGTTTGAGGCCAGCCTGGGCTACATAGTGAGTTCCAGGACAGTCAGGGCTATACAGGGAAACCCTGTCTCAAGGGGGAGGGGGGGGAAATCATTGTAGTTAATCTTTATTCACCTGTAACAGAAGAAAGCTTTGTGTGTGTATAGTAAACACATGGCAATTCATAACGTACAATTTTCTAAAACCTGAGTGGAGGCAGCATTTGCTGGTGTTTTGTGGTGTGGCAGCATGTACTGTGCAAAGAACAGGTATGCCGTGTTCAGCACCGAGGCTTCTGCTGTGGTGGAGTCATGCGATGCCACCAGGGCAAGCTGAGCTGGGAAGACACTCCACCACAGTTGAAGGAGGCATGAGCTACATTAACCGAGAGAAGCCAGCTCTGGCCTCCAATCATTCATTCCTTTGGAAGCAGAGGTGCTACCTTCCTACTCTCTGGAAGACTAAAACTGTGAGCCCAGCTTCCCCTCCCCCCCCCTTGTCTCCAGGACACTAGGGAGGGAACTTCATCTGGCTTCCTGGGAAGCTCTGGGCACCTGGACCCCAGATGTGCCATGGGCCTGGAGCCTGGGTCAAAGGGCTCCCAGATGAGGTACTTTAACCCCCCCCCCATTTCACTGGGGGGGTAGGGACAGACCCTGTCTTGAGGGCCATACACTATTTGGTTATCCTGGGGATTTTCCCAGGTGCTCTATAGCCCAAACCTTGGAGGTGCCCCAGGTGGTTCCCAAGAACTGGGAACTCCAAGTGAAAAGGTCTTTGTCCTGAGGCAAGAAAGTGAGTTAGCCTAGAGCCCAAGCCACAGACAATAGTTGTTGACCTGGGTGGCTCAGGCTCCAACCTCAAACTCTCAGACACCAGGCTCTCTGGAGGATTCTATTGAGGCATCTGGGGTCTGCTTCATGTCAGTGATCAAGGGTCCCGGATAGAAGGAGATGTGAGGGTGACAGTGTTCTTCTGGGAAGGGGCTCTGGAGACTAGCTCATTCCAAAATGGAAGTGAATGCTGGGGGTGGGTGGGGGGCATAGCTTGATGGTGGAGTGCTTGTCTAGCATGCACCAGGCCTAGGTTCAAATTCCAGCACTGTATAGAAGGGAGATGTGACCCATCCAGAGCCACACTGCATGAAAACACTAGAGCAGACTGAGTGTGGTCTCCAGCTCCTCAGTAAGGAAGTGGGATTAGCCAATCCATTTAAAGCTGGGGCAACATAAGGTGAGCTAATATCCCAGGGTTAACACCAAGAGATATGCCTCGGGGTTAGGGGCTGTTTTGGAGAGACAGGCCCATGCAGCTGCAGGAATCACGCATGCTCAAACTCCACAGGCAGGCTTCAGCAGCCTGGGACAGGCGGAGACATATGCCCAGGCCTAAAGGCTTATAGGTCAGGTTACACCTTAAAGGTTCAGTTAAGACCTTAAATCCCTCCCCAAACTCTGGGGCTTAACGCTTGCCAGAACTTTCCAGCTAGGCATTGAAGCCTCCAGTTAGTCTGGTTGATTTTCGCTTGACTATCCACACGTGGTACCAGCCTAAAATGCTGGGGTGAAATTCACTTTCTGTGGAGTTTTTGGAGAAACATGGACAGGATTGGGATTGTCAACAGCAGGGAGAAATTAGCATTTCCTTTTGGTCACCCTCTCAGGTGGTCTAGACCCCCCACAGAGAGGAACCAGTTTCCACCAGGCAATTTGAGGACTGGGCCCCGGGTGGCTTTTGTCCTCCAAGGGGAGGACCTCTGTCAACTTCAGATGTTTGTAGAAGAAGCTTGAGTTCAAAGAAGGGATTTCAAAGGAACTAAAGGAAGGAAGGAAGGGAAACCCAGGATTAAGAGAAAGCCCACAGTAGTTCATTAAGAAGATGGAGCCTATGGGCCTGGCTATGTGCTGGGGACTGAGTCAGCCCTAGGATGACCTGGGGACTGCATTCGCACCCCGGCCCGCCCCCACCAGCGGGAAAATGATCCAATTTTCTGTAGTGCGGAGGGTACAATGTATCCCCCTTCCCTGACCGTGGTGGATAGCTGGCTCTTGAGGTGGGCTGGCATTCCCTAACGATTTACTATTTATGAAATTAAACAGCGAGGGAGAGGGTGATGTCAGAGGAAACCAGGGGATCCAGAAGTACAGGGAGGCGTCCAGCAGGGAACCCCGGGGGTACGGCACCAGTGGGAGGGCCACCAAGAGCCTGCATCTGCCAGCACCTTCATCAGGGGAATGTTAACATCTGGGGTGCCGTGTCCAGTGTACGGATGAGAAGGCTTGCAGGTCAGTGAGGGACAAGAGTTGGGATTTTAAGCCACAGGCAACCCCAATTCTTCCCAGTTGGCTTGTCGTAGAGCCACCTCTACCCAGATGGTAGCCCTGTGACCACATCTGATACTGCTTTATAGTCTACACCAGGTTTCTCCTCGACAACCTTCAGGTGAGGTTAGGAGAGGGACCCACACAGGGAAAGTTGGAGGGAGCTATAACTTCCCTATAGTAATCCAATCCCGGTCATAACCTAGGGCTATCCCGTTCCCTAACTGCTTTGGACCCCGTTTTTAGCACCACTGTCTAACTTTTGGTTGTTGATGTGGGTCTTGAATGCGGTGTGAGTAGGCCCCATGCTCTGAGGAACCCAGCTGTTGGACTTGATTTTCACACCCGAAAAGTTTGACGTTTTCTCGGATAGACAGGAAAAGAAGGCGCGATCCTGAGCAGGCAGGGCTTCCAGAAGACACTGAAGGAACTGAGGGGCCAAGAGGCAACGCCGGGGGAAGAGGAGGAGGATGGGGCCTCCACAACCACTTCCTTTAAGTAGTTGGGGGAATTTCGACTTTAGGCTGGGTCCGTTTTCCTCTTGTTGACCATTTCGCCGCCGGCATCTATTTTTAATGATCATTCGTGGCTGGAACTTCCTCTACAAAGAAGAGCTTCATGATAGCTGCTGCTCAACGTATCCGGCCCAAGAACTCAGGAGTTAATTCCGGGAGGTTCCCTGGGAGGGTACTGGAGATGCCTGTGGTCACCAGGCAGAGCGATCAAAGTCAGTTCACCTTACTGGAGCCTTACTACTGCCCAATGGACACGGGCGGGCCTGATCCTCCCGCGCTCCAGATTGAGACAGAAGCCACGGAGCCCACGCTTCCGCTCGTGTTCCCAGAGTCCCTGGCCCAGAAGTCCTGGAGGGAGTTGGTGGGGGAACGAGGGACGCCTCCTGGGCTAGGTGGGGGAGTAGATTCCTTACCATTGTTCAAAACTGGAAGAGGCTCGAGAGGGCCTTCTCTTGAGCCTTAGGGAGGAGATGCGCTCCTGGTTCTGCGAAGCCCAAGTCTGGTTACTCACCAGAGCACGGGGGAGCATGGTGATGAGGCGATTGCTCGAAGCACACTAGCTCCGGCTACCCCACCAGGAGCTGGGGGAAGGGACTCTCGGGCTTTTAGATTTGAACCGGTGTGGCCGAACAGCCAGGCTGAGTTCCGGGACAGCCATTGGCTGCTGCAGCGGCGTGACATAAGCGCGGAGGGGTACGGGAGGGAGGGCTGGGAGGAGCCAGGGAGGGGAGTGCCCCAGCGTCTAGCACACCCGGAGCCCGGGCAGCCAGAGGAAACAAACGCCGGCGCTGCCATGGGTCGCCAGTCCTGCCGAGGCGCCGAGCACACAGACGGAAGTGCACAGCCGTCCGGGGCCCGCGTTCGAGGAGCTGGGGACCGAGGTAGGCGATGGGTACCCGTCTGTGGCCTTGCAGCCGCGTGAGGCCTGGGTAGGCTCGAGATCCCTGGGCGCGTGGGAGAGGACAGAAAGACCCCGGGGATGGGGAAGACCAGGGAGGGATCAGTACACACACCCCCATCTGCACCCCAGCGTGGGTAAGCATGGCCGGGGCAAGGGGCGTCTTGTGTGTCCGGGACCCAGAGCCAAACCCCGTGTCCCAGAAAATCGCAGTGTGCGGAGGAGGGGGTGACAACAGGGCTCAGCGTCGCCAGGACTCGCCAATCTGGCCACGGAAGCTGCTCCGGGTGGGGTGAGTGGGAAGGTTTTAAAGGTCCACCCCCTCGCGTAGGAATGGGGTGTGTGTTGCCGTGGGCCAGGCACGCAACACAATAATCGCGGTCACCCCGAGGGGGGCGTGTTCGCACAGAGTTCTCCATGAATAACAGCCGAGTTCTTGTGTAGTGGCGGAGGGTGTTCGCGCGCTCTCCCGCTTGTACACACACTGCAGTAGGCGCCACCCGGTATCGCCGGGCCCCGGGAGAAAGGAGGGCAGGCAGGAGCCGTCTGCAAGGCAATAGCCTAGCGAACGACTACTCCCCCCCTCCTCCCGGCCCGCACAAGCCCTTCCCTCCCCCGCCCCGCCCGCCCGCCTCCCTCGGAAGACTAGGAGGCCAAGGCCGCCGAGAGGCGCAGGCTCCTGGCGGCGGGGTGGGGCTGCCCGAGCTGGCCGCCTCTTTTGCAGCCCGGGACGAAGCTTCACGCTGGGGCCCTGCGTGTGCGCCGGGTGCTCCCAGAGCACCGCACTCGAGGCTTGTTCAGGGGCGGGTAAGTAGCGGTTGGTTAATGATTTAACCGTTCGCTCCGGACGTTGAAGCTGCGATCTTGGTCTCTGGCTGGCTCCTCCCCATTCCTGGAGCGCCCCCAGCCGGGGGGGACAAATCTGCCCTCCTGTGTCTGTGGTGTGTCGCCTGCAGGATCTGCCTCTACCTGTTAGGGGTCCCCTGGCAGCTGTGGGTGAGTGTCCCAGACTGGAGGGGTGGATGGCGGTTGAGCTTCCTGGGGGAAGACCGTAGGACTTGCGTGAGTGTGTGCCTGAGGGGGGAGGGGCGCTCCCTCGCTTAGTTAACTCAAACCAGGTTCCTTGTGTTTGCCCAATGAAATACTGCGGCCTGGGCTTCGGAAGTTTTCTTTTTCTCCCAGGGAGAAAGAAGAGGAAAGACAATGCTTTCTCTTTTCTTCATGGCTGGGGACTTCTCCCCCACCCCCTCCAACACTCTCGCCTCTTGCAATCTGAGCGGCTCCCACGTCCCTCTCTGGGCCCACATCTCCCGTTCTTTGCCCAGGTAGTTGAGCAGTGGAATGGGGAAAGTCCTTGTGGGCGTCTCTTTACTTTGAAGTCTCCTGTCAACTCTCTGTCGGAGAGGATGGGGTACTTCCATCCTTTTCCCCAGCAGCCATCTGGACCGGAGACCTGGGGAGCATAAACAATGAGAGGTCCCTGGCAGGGGGCCTCTGCCCTGCAACTTCTTCGCCCTGTCTGGGTTTCCAGTAAGGCCTGCAGCAGCTCCTCCCGCCCCTTTCTGGGGCCAGGCTGGAGGAGGGGGCCACCAGTGGGATGGAGTGGATTTTAAAAGAACAAAGGGCAGGGCCCACAGCAGGGGGAACTCTGTTACAGGTTTGGGAAAGGGGGTGAGGGTGAGGGTGCTGGAGCAGAGCCAGGCCTCTGGGCAGCCCAAGGGCAGTTGGCAATAATGGGGCATCCGCTAGAGTCCTGGGAGTCGCCATCAATGTTGGGTAGCTGGGACCGTGCTGAGTGTGGGGGGTGCCGCGTGCTACCAGCTCTCATCAGCTGCCGGTATGTGGCTACTGATTAATGCGCTTTATCTCCTCGGAACTGGGACTTTGCCCCTCAGCTGTTTCCCACCATGGGGAGCCTTGGGAGATCTGGAGGGGAGCTCCTCAGGGGTCCTGAGGACCTGCCTTTGGGAGGACTTGAGGGAGCTGGCGTGTGCTAAAGTGAGCCTACTCCCAAGCAGTGTTGACTTAGGGGTGTCTCAGCCCCTCTGGTAACTTCCCGGGAGTTCACAGGGTCTCTTGCTCATTGAGCTACCGCGCGCCCATGTTCTGTGTGCTCACTCTGTCCCTTTGAGTATTTCTTGAGTTTTGTGGGGTGTCTGTCTTTATTTAGCCTCCCCCCCCCCTTCAGATTGTTGCTCACACGTACCCATTCTCGTTTTAAGCCGTATGTGTGTGTTTGCGCGGGCGCGCGCGCCCAGAGGTCTTCCAAACTGACAAGCCAAGCTTCTGAGCCAGCAGGAAGTCACAAGCAGAGGGAGGGTTTCTTTGGGAGGCAGTGGTCCTGAGGGGTGGTCTGGTGTTGATCTGTAAGGGAATCTCGGAGCTTTTCCAGAAGGGCCCCCAGGTTGCCTGTGGTTCAGGACCACCCCCCTTTTCCAATTCATTCCGGGGCCAGGACAGGCTGTGCCCAGCTGTGGTAGGCGAGGTGTTTGATGTTAGTGTCCCCTTCTCTTCCTGCCTCCCTGCCTCCCCGCTTCCCTTGAAGTTTGGATGGAGTTGGCAGAGGAGGGAGGTCTGCAGCCAGCATCCTGGATGGCTATGGAGTAACAACTCCAGCTGTTCTGGTTAGGACATCCCACAGACAACACTTAGGCGCCTGCACTGTTGGGGGGAGGGAGGAGTTTGTCCCCAGTAAGAACAGAGGAGTTGGGTTGATGCCAGCGATAAGGCTGGGGAGTGGAAAGGGGTTGAGCAATCTCACCCTGGGAGTTGAGTGTGGACCCCGAGCTGTGCTTAGGTCTTGTGACCTCAGGACTAGAGACTTTTCCTCAGTCTGGGGAGAAAGGACCAATTCCCAGGACCAAGGGGACATTTGGAGCAGTAGAAGTCCCTTGACTGCTGCTGACTCCAGCTAATATTTCTAAAGTTCCTGGGGAAGGCTCAGCCCAGGTCAGCCCTCTTTGGGCAGGGCCTGGGACAGTCATTCAGGGAGGGACAGGAGAGTGGCTAAAAGTAGCTCTGCCTACTTGCTTGATAGAGAAAGTTCAACCATTAGCTTCCCACATTCCTACTCCTTATGAAGCCCCAGCTTAAACTGGCCTCCTGGAGCCTTGGGCTTCCTTCCAGCCTTGGAACACTAGAGCCCTTCCCTACGCCCCGGGCATCGCCAGCTTGCTGCTCCGGCTCAGTGCCAGGAGGACAGTGCTGGCAAACAGAGCCTCCTTTACCTGAGACTGGTGGTCTCTGCCCCACCTTCCCAAGCTGAGATAGGGTCTCCCTTTTCAGCCTGAGATGAAGACAGTTTGGCGATGTCATGTGCTCACACCCAGTCTTCTCCCTCTGTTCTTAATTGTAGGGCCAGGGCAAGAGAGACCCTTGTATGTCTGGTGCTCAGTCACCACCCTCTGCCTTGATTATCAAGGTGTCAGATGATGCCAGCTGAAGCCACTGTAAGGATTCAGGCACTTTGCAGGCCTGCCCGTCACCTGGCAGAATGCACTCAGGCAGTACTCTAGTCAGCCCAGGGTTCCATGAGTACCAGTGTGCATGCAGGTGTGAAGGACCCCTTTAAAAGTCAGACCCCTGCCCACTTACGCTCTTTTTGCTTTCTCTTTTTGGTCTTCTCTCTTTCTCTCTCTCTCTCTCTCTCTCTCTCTCTCTCTCTCTCTTCCCTCCCCCCTCCCTCTCTCTCCCTCCTGCTTTTGGTTGGCCACCAGCTACCCCCCCCCCTTCGTTTCTTTTCCCTCCACCAATAAACTCCATGTGGGTGCGTTGAGTCTCTGTTTTGTTTCATTGGCGACAGCTGCATAAAAGGAACCGCAGCCACCCCAGCTCTCTTTCATCTGTCTCCGTTTAGGGACTGAACTTAGTCTACTGACCCCAGTTTTAGGTCTTCCTAGATGTGACAAGGAAGCCGGGTCTCATGTCCCAACTCCTCTCCATCACCATCACTTCCTCTCTGCTCTGCGAGCGCCCCACCAAGACCCATTCTGTTATAAACCGCTCCTTTCTTCAGGATGTTGCCCAGACCCTGAAGCCTTAGAGAGGAGACCCTCTGCTCTCCTCCTGCTCTGTCTCTGGAGATTCTGGCTTGGAGAGGAAGAGCTTGGAAGGAACATAGAAGCCACTGGTACCCTGCATGGAGTCGGGAGAGCCTGGGAGTTTTAAAGGAACAGGGTGCTCTCTATGGGTGTGGTACGTCTTCCTCTTTGAAATTCTGTGTCTTGGTGCTGGTAGCACCCAGTCTCCATCTTCTCCTTACCCTTATCCTAGGGGAAGAACGAGCGTGTCCACAATCCTTTTTGAACTGAAATCAGAGGGAGTCAGGCACTCTCCATCCTGCATCATCAAAGGTCAAAGGTGAAGAAGCCCCAGGCAGGGTTGCCTCACAACCCTGCTACTTGGTTGGCAGTACAGAGTGAGGTTGGGCTCTGTACCCTGGCTTAGGGATCAGCTTCATGCAGCACCCTGGAGCCTGTTGGGTTAGGCATGTGCAGGGATGCTCAGGGCTGACAGTGGATCCTGTTTGAACTCATTATCATATCACTGAGCATGCTGGTACCTACACCGGTAGATGTGGGGACTCCAGAGTCAGGAATGGAAGGTCCGCCAGCCTGCTTGGGGGCTTGCTTTTTCTGGAGACCCCACAGTGCCCTTGTGGTTTCCACTCAGCGAGTACCACTTCTTAGGAGAAGCGGAGCCGAGCCAAGCCTGGGGGTGGATGGGTTTCAGCTGCAGCAGCTTCCTTCTGAGATGAGACCGGAGCAGAAGCGCTACTCTCCCCCCCTTCCCCTAGCAACTTGTCCTGCATAGCTACAGCTCACTTCCCGCCCAATACCCTTTCCTCTTCCCTCGCTGGTGGTAGATTGTTGGGTGGCAGACTCCTGGAAGCCCACGTTTCCAGGAAGGGTCATGTAAACAAGTGAAGTTGCCGGATGTCCTTGGGTCACTAGTTGTGCGTCGTCTTGGCTCCCTGGTCAGTTG